ATCGCTCAAAACCAAAGACTAAACCCAGAAATCACAGAGACCAAAGCTAGGGACCAAATTCAGAGAGTAAATCTGCGGAACAAAACTAGGGATCAAATCCAGAAATCCCAGAGCCCAAACCCTCAGGGACTGAGAGTTGAAACATAGATCAGTGGTAAACCCTCACTTTTGACTTCAGCTTTCTAGCACAACACCTGCAGTTACTGTTATGACCTCATTAACCCATTAATCGACTGGATGCTCCTTCGGTTCTCAAGGTCCAGCTTCAACTAGATTAATCCACCATTTTCTAACATAAAACCATAAAATCAGACTTGAATTCTCTTTCTGCCTCCCTTCACACTTGACTGCAAACCTTTTTCTCAGTGCGCTCTGAAGGTGAAGATGACAGTGTTGTCACTTATTAAATAAATTGCTTTGGCCAGCTGACCAAATTATTTCTGGAATCTGGAGAAGGTCATAAACAGAATATATTTCCAGATATTTTTTTAATAAAAAGACACTTTAAATTACCTGAGAGGGTCTAATTATCTACCAAAGTGTCAAGGAGAAATGACTCAGAGCAACATGAATCTCTAAAGTTGTTTTTATCTGTGTCCGTCACCTCTGCCTGCTCATTTATTTTTGTATTCCAGCAGTGTTCCTTTCTTGTGACTTGTCTTCATCTCACTTTCTTCCACTTTGTACTTTCACTCAGATGAACCCTCTGTCTTTACTATCTTCACAAACCTTGATTTGAATTCCTCTTTGAAAGTGATCAGAACTACAGTTATTACCGGTGACATCTCTTGGTATTGATTCAGACTGGTCACGGTACGGCTGGCCTTAATGAACAATACCATACATGTGAGTGTTTTCTCTCTTTTGCCTCCTTTTATCCTTTTATCTTAAAGCATTAAAAGAATTTAACTTGGGGGCTGATGCTGTCTGTAGCTTGTTTTCTTCAAACTTGATGATTGTTCTGAGAAGAATCCCTGCAGACCACAAAGTGTTTGGCTGACGACAAACATGATGCAGAGTGCTGCTTTCCACTCACATTTCTTCATCACCTCTTGTTTGCGTTGTTTAAAAGCCTGCTCACAAACAAACCTGTTTTTTATGAGGCCAGTGACCCTGCTAGGCAACAGCATGCATGGCTCTGGGGTTGATCCTTCCTAACAGAGAGCAAACTCCAAGTCACATCAGCAGGCAGGTGGGCCAGCCTCAGGTCCTGCAGCGAAGCTGTGTTTGTACATGGCGAGACCCGACATGAAGCTGCAGGGCGTCATGAAAAATTAGTGTCTGTGTCTGGAAAATAAGACGCATGCATCTGATGGGGACAGCAAAAACAGACAGCAAACTGTTTATTAAAGGACATCTGGATTCTGTATTTTGAAGCCTTAACGTTTTTGTTGAAGGTAGAAGTGACCATATTTGGATATATTTGATTAGCAAGCTGCATTTTTTAAAACACAGGATAAAATCGCCAACAGCAGACACAACCGAAAAGTTCAGTTCAGTCATTCAGCTTAGCAGGGATCTGACCACAGCTCCCTGTCAGTTATTTTTAAAAACTCTGTCCTTCTTACAGCTGTTACAAAGAGAAACGCATCCAAAGAAGGTAAAGTTTCATACCAGGTTGAAGGTAAATATATATATATATGTGGACATTTTATGTCTACGAATGAGCCTCGTAGAGCATCAGTTATAGGTACTTCAGTGTTAGCATGCACCCATGTTCTTGACAGACGATCACTGCTTCACGACCTGATAAACATGGTGGTCATGGCCTCAAAACTAGTCAATGACCTACTGAATACTCCTGGAGCTGCTGTGAGAGGTTGATAGCTAAATGATCCCCTGGTCAGCACCTGTCGCTAGGGAAAATGTGCATTCCCCTAGCTTTGGTCGCTAGCATATTACTGCGGTCATCGTTTGAATGGAAGTAACAAACTCTGTCCAGCTGTTCTCTGCGCTGTAGTGAAACTGAAGTGTGTGCCCCAACCGAAAAATGCAACGCAAACATTTCCAGTTTGTGTTGATTATTTTGTT